ATGAAGCTGTGAAATTAGATAGAGCATGGTAGATTGAACTGGAGAGTGTTAGGAGTGCGATTCATAAGGCACTTGTGATTTAAAAATACTTTTTCTTTTAACCCCTTTCACCTGCAGTTTACCCTCTAACTCTCTCTCTAAAAAGCCTTTTGAGGGGCTGCTGCAGCAGGTTCCACAGTTTGCTCCCAGCTGGGCAAACTTTGCAAAAGACACCTATCCTCAGCCACACCAGCTTGTGGGTCTGGCTCCAAGAGCCCCTGCTCTGAGCCAGTCAGCCCACGGCTGGTGTGGGTGGCTGGCAGCTTGTCAAGGAGCTGGGAAGGGCAGGTGATGGGGGCATTGCTGCAGGGCAAGAGTGCCCAGCAGCCCCCCCTTCCCCTGCAAGCGTTCCCTCCTCTGCAGGTGTGTGGCAGCTGCTCTAATGGATGTCCTGACGTGGGGCAGATAACCTGCCCTCCCACCATTCCCTGTCTCACAGCTGTCACCCTGCCCTTGCTCGGATGCCTGCGCTGCACTGCTCAAGTGCCTCTCTGGGAAATGCTTCTGTCAGCAAAGCAGGGCACAGAAATCACCCAGCCTTTAGACGGAGCAGCTTTCCACCAGCATGAGCACTCGGGAGACAGGGAAAAGGCAAACAACAAGGGGGCAACCGGGCCCCAGGAATGCCAAACGCAGGGTTAGAGCCTGTCTGCAAGCAGGCAGAGATGCAAACCCAGACCACATCTCCTGCTGCCCTCCTGGCTCTGGGTGCTGGGCTGGACAAGGCAGGGATGGCACAGCCCGGCAGCTTGGCAGTCCATGGGATCAGCTGCTGGCAGCGGGCAGCCACTGTGGCATGGGATGGAGAGGGAGGGGAGGCAGCACAGAAGTGGAGGATTTGTGCTAAGGCTCCAGGACTGTCTTAAATCTCCAACATCTGCCAATTTAAGTACAGCTGAATTGCCGGATAATTCTGCTGGTGGCGCTCCTGGGAACACCCAGCCCGAGCAGAACAATTTTGAAGGAAATTACATGAGCTGGGATTTAGTGTTGTCTCTTTAGCTTGTGGAAGAGATAATCTGGCCCATTTAATGTGGAACAAAATTTGCTCTGTTTCACAGGCGTAAGGAGATAGTTTTGCCTTGAGAAAGCAGCAGTAAATGACTCTGAAGTCCTGCTGTCACTTGTTCACTGAGCTTCTGTAATATGGAGTGGCAAGGGCTGTTTTCCTGGGCCACTTTCTACATATAAGTAACGCTCTTCATAAAGAACACCACTTAGTCTTATGACAAAATTCCTCTAGTGTGACACAGAAGAGCACTGACATCATTCTTGAAGGCTGCAGAATTTATGGCACAGTTAATTATTAATTTGGCTGGAATTTGTAAAGTAGAAGGGAGTTTTTGTGCTTTTAGGCCATGCTCTCAGTGTGTAAATCTCTCATATGGCTGCCATAATAATATTCCTGCAGCTATGTTGTCACCTATTGTAATTTTTCTGCTAATAAGAAAATTTAAACTAACCAGGAATCCTAAATTTGGAGACTAGTTGTTTATTTCAAATATACTCTAGAGAAATAATAATGCAGTTCTGCTCTGAATTTAATTTAAACAGGAACAGGCAAAACAAATCTCTGCGGAGGGCATTTGACAATAATAAAATATTTCTCCCAGCGGGTGAGCTGGTAGCAATTGTATTGTTGCCATCAAAGCTCACGTTTCAGCAGGTCATTACCATCATAACAAGCCCTTGGACCAACTGGCATGGACATGCAACATTGAGCTCCTGATGGGCACATTATTTCAGACCTTTAACTTCATGGAGAACAAGACAAATACTCCTGGGAGCGGAGGATTATATTTTGAAATTCCTTTCTTTTCTGTTCTGCTTAATAATAAGAGCCTGTGTGTAATCAATCTAGCGCCACTTGCTCCTTTATATTAACGGAGATTGTAAGGAGCCAGCTTGGGAATGTGAACACCAGGAGTCAGCGACCCTTAATCTTAACGAAACACTAACGATTAGCATGGCCGGGATGTGGCAGCACAAACACTCGGGGATAAAAATGGCAAAAGCAAATAAATGCATCCATGTTCTTTCCCACAGTTACTTGGGTTATTTTCCCCCCTTCCCTAATAGCGACCACAAGGAGGAAGTTTGTGATCTGTGTGTTAAAGGCAACCCACGGACGCCCGGAATCAGCTTTTCATTGCAAGAGAAAACACACGCCTTGTGAGGCGGCTACGGCAGGCAGGCTGGATAACAAAGAATAGAGTAATTAGCAAAGTGCCATGTGAAATCAGAGACCTACATTACACAAGAGAGATGAAATGCAAAGGAAAGGAAAGGTGTGAGTGAAGAAAGCTGTTAAGGAAAACTAACAAAGGCTATAGAAGAAAACGTAGAAAACAGGTGGAAGCTGTCCCATTCTTGAGTTTGGTGCAAGATTCAGGACAGGTAATGTTCAAAATTTTTCAAAGAGATGTTTTCTCCTGCAGCAGCCTATACACAAAAAAATTTCAGGTGTTTTTGTGCTTAGGGTAGAGTTTTTTCCCACTAGGGTACAACTGGGCAATGCTGCAGGAGGTCACTTAAAAATGAGAGGCAAGATGAGGGCTTGTCTACAGCCAGTGTTCCCATTTCTGTTCTCTTTCATAATCTTCCCTTTGGTTTTGGTGGTTTTTTGTCCATATTTAGTCTTTCAGCACTGGCATTGTTAAGAAACACATATAACTGCACGTGCAGTGGCACTGACTGGCACATGATTTTCCTGCCTTTTCTTTCACTGAGAAAGGATCAGCTGCAGGGACCACACGAGGACACTTCCAGTTGGTGTTTGCCAGACCTTCTCACACTGCGAACTCACAAGGTCAAAAAATTCCTGCCAAACAAACAAAGAGCCCAAATGACATCAAGTTAGGCCATCACTTAACTGCAAAGCTCCAGAGAAAATTCACAGCCCCCCCACAAATCCCATGCCACGTAGGTGCCAGCTCAGGGAGTGGCATTTTTCTTTCAGATCAACACTGACAGCTCTGGCTGAGGGCATGGGTGTGAGTGAGGCAGCGAGGGGCAGCAGAGCTGTCAAACAAACACCTCCTCCAGAGGCAAAACCCCACTCTTGGACTGGGACAGCTTCTTTTACCTGGGAGCCAGGTGGAGTAGGGGAAGGGAAGGGAAGGGGGATGTAAAGCACATCAGTCAAAACCTGATTTCACTGAGCCATAGCCCCAGTGGGAGGACTCTTGGTTTGCCATCGTATTTTAGCCAAGTGGGGTTGTGGTAGCCACAGGCTGGGGCTGCAGCAGTTGAGAGCTACAGCAGGGTGTGTTGTCTGAGCTACAAATGCCAGTACCCCAACCCCTCTTTTCTCTAAAGACTAAGTAGCTATTTGTGAAGTTTAGAAAGCTTTGTGCTCCTGGACAAATTCCCCACTGAAACATTTCCAATGGATTTCTGTGACTGTCCTGGCTTTACTGCAGAGACAGCACAGGGAGAAGAAAGAAAAAAACCAAGAAAAACTATGCGGAGTAGAGCCCTAGAAGAGGCTTCATCTGAGAGTTGTATTTTTTCTTCTGTGATGCTCGATTTTTGTTGTGTGGTGCTTCATGATCCTCTCATGAAAAATGGTACAGAAAGCATGATTTTTTAACTGTACATGAAAACTTTAGTCAATGATTAGGGTCAAACATGTTGAAGAAATTTAGGAGTGCCACTTTTTACTAATTATTTTCCTTTTGTGTGTGAAAATTCATAACACTACCTTTTTCACTTCTAAGGTGCAGTATTAGGTTTTCTTTTGAAGAGGTACTTTGCAATAATTAAAAATCAGGAAACTAATAAAAAGGGGGGAAAATACTAAAAAATGGGGAACGCCAGCTCTGTGCACGCACACTCTGTGTATGGATGTATGTGTGCCTGTCACAGCAGTGTCAACACAAAAACCCACTTCTGATCCTCTCTGCAGAGTCCACGCAGGATTCATCTTCCTATCGCCCTGCTGCTCCTTTTACTCAGAAAAAGTGCCCCTATTTCCCAAGACAGCTATAGCACAGAAAGCCCTGGCAGCAGGGCAGGGGGGCCACTGGCTGTGTTGGCACTCGGAGGCTGTGAAGCACAAGGAGCCCTTGGTGCTGTGGCTGACACAGCTCCTGTCCCCGAGCAGCCCCTGTGCCATCAGCCAGAGCCTCCTGAGGATGGCCAGGAGCGAAGGTGAGAAACACACTGGTGAACACGACGACAAAACGCTATCAAGATAGGCTAAAAAGCAAGAAAAGCACACATTAGCACCTCTGTGATGGTTCCAGAAGGGTCCACAGGACAGAGGGGCTGAGCCTGAGCGAGGGGGGCTGCAGCCCCTGCGAGGGATGGGGCTCAGAGCCCATTTATGGCCCCTCTGCCCAACCCGCCTGGATCCCGACAGCTTTCGGGGACCTTCGTTCACACCAGTCTGTACCACTGCTCTGGGGGCTGTTTACTTCCATTCAGCAACACTGGATCAAATAATACAGGTTTTTTTTCTTAATTTATTTTTTATTTTTACTCAGAACACATTAAAGGAGTCTCCTGCAGTAGGAAATGAATGATAGACTCAGTTGTTGATGGAGAAAGCAAAAAACTACCTCTATATGATATTAATGTGATCTTAAAATAGTGGGAAAGTTTTCTTTTATGACATTGACAGAAAGGCAATGATTTTGAGTAATGCAGGTTGATGTGTAGATGCTTTAAGATTAAATAAGTGCTATATAAAGGCCTGCCAGCCTGAATTCTAATGTGCTATGAGACATTTTGCATATTTAAGAGTATGCAAAATGTCTTGTACCACACTGGAATTCATTCTGACAAGGCTTTATATAGCATTTATTTACACTCATATCGTACTTTAAGGGAGAAGTGCAAACGCTGGCTCCGTTTTGAATGGAAGTAACAAAAGGCATCGCTAATTGCTCTGTTTCCTCCTCCAAAAAAGAAAACAAAACCAAAAAAACCCCACAACACAAAAAATAAAATAAAAGCAATCAAAAGTGGAAGCTTGTTTAATATTGCTCTACCATCATCCTGAAAGGCATAATAATTTGAGTTACACATCTGAACTGATTGGAGTTACAGAATCATATCTCCTTTTTGCATTTAACAATATATACAATATAAAATAAATACATTTACACAAATGGACATTGGTTGGAGCACACGGTATGATACACATCACAAAAATATACAGTTGATTGCTATACAGATGTGAAGCCCATCTACAGCTATAGACATGTTTGTTTTCATTTGTTGTTTTGTTTCGGTTTTTAACTACTGGCTATTATGCAACTCCTGGATTATTATAAGCAGTTTAATTTTTTTTGTCCTTTTGCGATCTTTGCACGATAAGACTGCCGTAAAATGTTTTCCTAGGCAGGTAAACAGAGACGCTTAAATAATTAAAATACAATCACCAACACCCATTTTCTCTTCTATAAGAAAAATAGCAGTTTTAATTTTTTATATCTTTTTATGTTATCATTTAAATGCAAAATAGTGGAATAAATACAACAATCTGATCTGATTGAAACAAATGTGTAACTTCTGGGAGTTACACAATCATATTGCTTTAAATAAGAAAAAATTAAAAAATGAAGCAAAAATAGAAATTAAATTGTTATGGCTAAAACATACACCCTTTGAAATTTTCCCAACACTTCACATTAAGTAAGTGGTCTTGAAAGAACTCTTCTCCAGCAAGGTTTAAGATGAACAACATTATAAAGCCCGTGCAGTTTTTTTTAGCTAAGTTTCAGGTAATGGTTTTACAGTCTTGAGATACTTGTTCTTTTGCAGCTCCAAAAAATTACAGAAAATGAAAACTAAAGTTTGCACCGTGTGCCTTTAACACATCTCCATTTTTTGTGTGTTTTTTGTATACTTCTAGTTGATTGGCTATTGACCCTGAAGCCCAAGTTCTTTAATGTGATACAGCAAAAACAATATTTATATTATATATTTATATATATATAGTGTACTTGAACAGTAGCAACTTAAACCCTGCACAAACTTTCTGGAAAATAAACTTTTTTATTTTTTGCACTCTTACATATATAAATAATCTTATAGAATCAGCACCTTTTTCCCAGGAGTTGTATTTTTTTTTGACATTTTTCAAAAGGGATGTGCCAATTTCTGAACTCCTATCACAGCTATAAATTTCAAGTTATTGACCATCTGAATGAATTGCTAATGATGATTTACCTAGAATCACACTACAGTCACTTCTCTACTGAGAAAACACAATCTACAATATAGTCCCATATAGCTAATGATAGATACACAGTTTTTTTTTTTTTCCTAGCATGAGGCCGAGAGAGCATCGGCCCATTGTTATTTTGTTTAAAGCACACAACGTAGCAATAGTTTTGGAAACTTGTCCGCACCAAAAAAGTTTTGCAACAACACAGAGCGATTTAATAACAACATCTGAGAGATGATTGAATAAAAGCTATATTTACAGCATTTAAAAATTAGACTTATCTATAATCTTGAAATATTCAAAGTTTTATTTCTAAGCTATACATTGGTATTCTATAATAAACTGTTACAGAAATTATCCCTTGTTTTGAAAATATTATGATTTCAGTGTGTATCTGTTCATAACGAGTATTTGTTTGGAGTTTCGATCTCTTAATTATTACTAGGAAGAACTTTATTACCGGTAAGGAATAGAATATACTACTGTAATCTCCTGAGGAATTGTACATCCAATATTGTCTCTAATTCTACCCTGTGTCTATAAGCACACACCACAAGAATCCAAACACCACAAGAAGAACAAGACAACAGTCTTTGAATGCAACATAAAAATTCAGAAAAGCACAGCAAACATGAAACATTGAAAAGCTGAACTACATTTCTTTTGTTTGTTAGGATTACAATTTTAATTACATCTGTGTACATAGAATAAGGATGTTCACATAGTACAGGGAGCAGCTACTAACACTGGTACATTGGTATAGCATTTGATGGAGGTTATTGTTTATTGGTTATTTAGCGACTGTAGTTTTCTGGGGGCATCTAATCGGTTTATACATTAGATTACACCTCGTAACAGTCTTGAAACTGACTGACTTTCATGCTGTGACAATACTGGTTGAAAAGCACATATACTGGTTTAGCTACTTGTTAAGGTTCGCCATTTACAAACGAAAATCTAAATCAATAAATAAGGTATAGAAGTGTTAAATTCTTCAATTTGGTCAGAAGTCTACTACTCTGATTTCTTAATTTTGCAAACGGCGGCATTTGCCTGGTGGCCTCTAAGCTACTGCAGGTTGATAGGGTTTTTGTGAGGTTACAATTTTGCAAACAGGCAGTCGTATCTCGTTCATTTGCAACTGAAGCAGTTAGAAATCACTCGGCGGCCGCTGCGCAGCCGCTGTCTCCTAACACCGTTACGGATTGGTATTTGACATGGAGTATTTGTATGGCAGACTACTCGGATATACTGCAGGTGTAATCTAATCCTTTGAGTCAGTGAACATTTAGTTATAAACTGGAGCTCATGTTAAGAAACTGGATGTTTTGGACCAGACTGGCACACAACATAAATTGCATCCGTGATAATATGCACCTTCCCTTCGACTATTGCTTTAGTAAGATAAATTCCCACATTAATAAATGGCTGAAAACTGGTAAAGCTGGTACAAAAAAATCTCCATTAGTAAGAAGAAACAAAACATTTAAAAAAATCTTCCTTCAGGATTCATTTGTCCTTCATTATTGTTCATCATTGTTCAAGCCAGCACAAAAATGCAGTATTTCTTTCTCTTTAGTATTGCATGAATGAATAAAGCTTAAACTATTCCCTGAAAAAGTTACATCGTAGCTAACCTAAGAAATATCTGGAAGACTTGAAAAAACAATTAAGGAATCAAATGGCTGTAACTGATCTAGATGGAAAATGCAATGATAAGAAGCAGCCGATGCATCGTCGCTTTAGTCGTCTAATTAGAGACTGCTCCTATGAAATCTAATACTGCATTCAGTCAGTTCATCGTGTTGTACTGTACTGCTAGGTACGGTGCTTCTCTCTTTGATTCCTTTGTCATTGGGGACATTATGGTTCATAATAAGTTCACTGGCATCCATATTATGGATTTCCATCCTTTGGCAGGCCTGGCTTCCATCTCTCTTCAATTAGAGACCTCTTTTAAAAAGTTCAGCAGCAAAGGAAAAAGAAAAGAGAAAAAGGAAAAAAGGAAAGGAAAGAACAGAAAGGAAAAGGGAGAAAAGGAAAAGGAAAAGAAAAAACTGCATCAGAAAGACACAGAAGAAAAAGTTGAAAGCTGCTTCACAGTCTTGCTGCTAAATATCAGTGCAGTCATTTAGTCATTTTTTCCTTAATTAAACACTAAGTTTCTTTGCCATTATTATCCTGTTTATTTTCCCTTTTTTTTTCTTTTTTTTTTTTTTTTTTAAAACGTGCATGATGGGGATGCCCATGATGCTTTAGTCAGACCTTGGCCTCCAGCATTTCCAAAAAAAGTTTGTGCATGGGGACTTTGCCTTCCAGTTTGATGTTGTAGAAATGCTGCACAGCCTTGGTGGAGGTTTGCCTCAGAAGCGGGAGAGTCATCAACATCTTGCCTGCACGACGAGGATCTTCCATGTGCTGCCCGGCCTCGTAATCCTGCAGAGCCTCATGTAAGACATCCTGGAGTTTCTGCACTGCCTCAACATCCTCTATGTGCATTGAGTCTGCAAAACAAAGGAGCAACAGGAGGTTTCAGTTTGGTGTGCCAGGACTTCGATAGCGCTACTAGGGCTGCACAACGCTTTCACTGGTTCTGCCCGTCCTTTTCCACAAAGAGGGAAGATAATTACCCATTAATTTCTGTACTGACCTTTAGGAAAGTGTATTGAAATGCTGAGGAACTACAAATGTACAATTAACTCTTGGGTAAGTAATTCTTCTCCTCATCCTCCTCAAACAAGTGAGACAGGTCACCCTCAGTGCTCCCCAAACCATCTGTATGGTCACTGCTTTGAAGGAATGACAGTGCCAAGGGGCTGAAGGAATGGAGGGCTGCATTTTATCCGGGAAGCAAGGATAAAGCAAGGATGCCCTACGGTGGAAAAGCTCAGCAAAATTCTGTGTCAGGTTCCAAGGCTGCCCACTTGGAAGCCATGGACATCACCAGTACTCAGAAACACTGTGGGATTAGGACTACTGCAGCAACACAGGAGAAACGCTGGTTTGAAGGGATTTCCTGGTAGGTTTAGCAAATTTTTTCTCCCTCAGGCATATTCAGGCAGACAGGTAACGCTTAGCATGTTCCTGAACAGCTTTTGTTCGGTGAAGCTAACATCTCCTACAAGGTGCAATCCTTCTCTCTCACCCCCACAGACAGCAGTTTATCTTGTTAGTGTTGGGGTTTTGCATTTTTTATAGAAGACTCGAAGAGAACACCCTGCCCTGCACCTTTGCAGGTGAGATGCCTTGGTGGTGTAGGTATTGAGTGACAGGCCCAGACGCAACACACACCAGGAACTAAACTAAACTGCTACATGACCCGAAAAGATTAAAGCAATGGAAGTGTGAAATAAAGAGAAAATATCTAACTGAAATAACTGTAAACCCCTCAACTGGATAGATACAGAAAGTGAAGATGTCCCTGAGAACACGCAGTTACTGGACCATGCTGAGATGACTTGGGATGAACAGCCCTAATTCTCTGACTTTTATGTAGTCATAAATGCCAAAGAAACCCTGATGTGGTCCAAAATGAGGTGAATGCAAGTAAAGAAAAACAATTGTAGGTGAAAGAGGCCACCAAACAGCCCCTATCAGATACCAAAATTGGGATGGTCAACAGACTTACAGAGCCAATAAAACACCACATGAAAATACAACTGCTGGAAGGGGGTACAAGACCCAGGGACAGGCCACGCTCTTCAAGCTTTGCTCAGGGTGAATCTGGGACATGGAACAATTAAAGTTAATCTCTGAAAACTCAAAATAACACTGCTTTGCATCCTAATTTTTGGGTTTTGAACAAAGTTCCTGTTCTCAGACAGAACAAGAACTGAGGGGCTGGATGGTGTAGGAATTACTTCCATCATCATTTCCATACCCTTTAACAAGCATTCTGATGCTCTGCATCAGTATTTGAGAGAGCCTCATGTTTTACCCTATTGATGATTAAACATCAAATTTTGCACGTGCTTCAAATATCTGAATTATGTTCACAGAATAAAGATGCATCTAAGATTAATTTTCTAAAAGCTGACATGGAACTGTTTCCTCAGATAATTAGGCCAGATAGTAAATACCTGTCTCCTTTCAAATACAAACATGTAAACTGAAACACAAACCAGTAAATAACAGGTTAAGAAAACGTGTTCCAGCTCTTATTGTCAAAACAAATGTGCAAATTGAAAAGAAAAAAAAAAAAACAAAAGTTGCAGCTCTCGCTCTAAAACAGACACTTAATTATATACAAGTTTGGATCATTTAGCACGTTTTATTGATTCTGATGACAGTTTATCTGTTAATTACACATAATGGAGTCCTATGGGAATTTTACATGTTTAATAATTCTGAGTCTTAGTGAATACATGCTCTAAGAAGCATGCAGCTAAGACATACACTGCTGGGATGTGATGCTGCACATCAAGGTGCACTGTGCTGAAAGCACAGACACAGAAATCTCTCTCTCTTAGGGATGAAAGAGGCTACAACATTTTGAAAAAGATGACAGGCAAATATTACTTCTAGCAAAATTTAGTTCTAATTAATGTGAGACCATTCCCCGAATCCATACATTTTTGATAGTTTTCTAATATGGTAATTTTATTCAGTAATTCTGTGTCAATAAGAGAAAAGCCCTGAATTCTGTGTCCTACAAACAGATGTAATCGATACAGACATGCTAACACACACATACAGACGTGACTGATGTCTTAAGCACAGGGTCCAGCCACCAGGCTTAATTTGGAATGAAATCTCCAAAACCATTGCTGTCTTTACTCCCTAACTCTTTACCAAGTCCTCGGATATTCACTGCTGGGCTACAGAACAGACAGTCTCCTACTCCAAGTAATTTTTCCATAAACCATGCACTGTTTGTGCAGAAAATACACATCTTTTCCTCCTCTCCCCAGATCCACAGTGCCAAGGCCAGATTTGCTGGGGAACCAAATAGGAACATTTCATCTGCAACAAATCCTTGGTGAGTCCTAAAGACTGACTGCTCTTATTACTTTTTTTTTTCTCTTTATACCATACTGCATGAAGAGGCAGGTCTTTCTGGAGAATGTGACTATAAAGGTTTAGTTTTCAACCCTTTACAAAACTGGCCTGTTTTTTTCCCCAGAATCAGTATTTGTAACAGTAACCATAAGTTTGCAAGTAGATGGATGGAGTCCAGACTAAATATATTTTTCACACAGAGGTGAAATTTGCCTAAGATGTTTAACTTTGCAGTTTGGACAGCAGTTTAACCTGCAGCATTAGGAATGTCTACACTCTCCATATTACTTACAATGAAACTGAGTGAGGAGGGAAAAGAACATCCCCCAGAAAGGAATCAAAACCTGCCCTCTGACACAGCTATTACATTTCACGCTGTAAAACTTTCCACTGTATGGAAAACATCCAAACACAAGGGCTCTTACCCTCTCCTTGCAGGGGTGGACTGTGTACCATCCCTCTGGTAAACAGGACAATTATTTACACTGAAAAGTAATAGTACTGAAGCATTTAATGGATTTGTTGCTATCTTTGAAATTAATTTAGTAGCTGGGAAGAATGTGATCAGCCAGCTCTCCACCCCCAAATGGTGGCTCATGGAGAAGTTCAGGAAGCTGCGCCCTGGGGAACAGATTCGGTCACAAGGAATAGGGTAAGAAAAAACAGCAGAGAGAGGGGCAATTCCAGTGGTGATTAAGACTTCAAACTGTTCTTTTAAAAATGGTGATTTAGCTTGAAAGATTTAAAAATTATGTAATCAAATTACTATGATAATTTAACTCCCCATTTACAGAAGAGATTCCAACTCATTTCAGCTGTACTCATTCTAGGGTCTGCCAATGTTTAAATGCAAACTCAATAAATCTGTGCTATTTAATTAGACCATGATTCAGCTTGCAGATTGCTCAGGAAAATATTAATCTCTACAAAAATCCTTCTTCAACTTTTAGCCTTGTCGTCTGGAACTTCCACTTTATTCCCAATATTAAACAAATGTAGATCTTAATCCCTCAGGTGTAAGCCTTTGAAAATAAGGAAAATGGTTGAAAATGCTGAACTAGCCAAGGGGAAAAGAGGAGGAAAAATAAAAGAGAGAAATCTTTTCAGTAACTACAGACTGGCAGATGCAGAAGTGAATTCAGAGTAGGCTGACTTGTTGCTAAATATTGTTCATGTATTGGGATAAACCCAATCCTCAGCGATGGACATGAAGAACTGCTAGAATTTAAGGAAACACAATCTAGAAATAAAGGAAGAATTCCACAGAAGATATGAAATTGAATTATAAGGGAGCTTGAATGTTCTTCCTATACCATGAAAAACCTTTTTGTTTATGGGATGGTCTGGGGTTTTTTGTAAGTGGCTTTGCAGGCAGTCTGAATAATTTACAATTACATCCCACACAGATAATATCCAAAGGAAACCTACAACCAGATGTAACACACTTAAAAACCAGAACCTATGTAAATAATGAAATTAAACAGGGTCATTTCAAAGTGTAATTTGAAAGACAGCAGAATTTGATGGTAAAGGCCCAGCAAAAACTGATGATACCAGGCTGGTGAAACTGAAGACAGACAAACACAAGACTTGTTGATACAACTGCTGAGAACACGGGATTTTCCTGCCAGGGAAGAAGTTGGTCCTGATCAAAGCTGCCCACGGGAAAGAGTGAGATCAACAAATGAGGACATGGACTCATTGAGCTCTGCTTGGAGAATCTCATCCTATCCTTGCAAATGCTTTCTTTCACCATCACAGGATGGGAAAATAGAATTGTAGCTCTTCTGATCAGCTGATTGATCAGATCATTGCACGGAAATAGGAGAAAACTGGAGTTCTCATTCAAGAAAAACACGACAAGGTCCAGACAGAAACTCAGATTACAATCTACCTCATTTAAAATTCAAGCTTCATCTCAAATGCAGCAAACAAACATCCAGCCACCCAGGAATCATTTAGAACACATCACAAAGGGCGACAACTGGCTAGAAATTGGAAAGCACCTGTACTAAGGGCAAGGAAACCTCTCAAAACCTTGCTTTGAGGAAAGTTAAAGGCTAGTATCTATATATTTTGTATATAACATCACTCAGAAGTGGAAGAAAACCAGAGGTCTTAAGTGAAGTGTTTCTTCATGTCAAAAATTTCAGACAGCAAAAAGAAAATAGGACAGTGAATCAAGCAGCAGGGAGCATGCAGCAGTGAACACACACATAAAGATGCTGGTAAACCACTGTTGAGGTAGATACCAATAAGTACTTGAAATACAGCAACTGCTGTGATGTTTCTGAGTCCATACAGCTGAGCAGTTCACAAACTCAATCTGGAGAAATCTCTTTAGAAAGCTGTAGGATCCTGGAAGAACTGTATGGGATCAAGATTAAGAACAAAAAGCAAAATGGTTTTTGCTTTATGTAAGGATGAAAAAAAATCCTAATGTGGTTATGTCTCAAATAAAAGATATTTTTTTATCTAAATTGTACTGCAAATCCAAAAACACCAC